ACTCTAACTCCAAAAACTAGTGGCAGAAAAATGGAGGTAAAGCAGGAAGAACACAAAAACAGCAACATATTGTACAGAGGTATTTAAAAGCTTTTGCTTGAAATATTTCATACTATTTAGCCCTTTTCTAGGAAAGATTTTCATAGCTTCTCTGATCCAGAAAAACATAATTTCTCTTGTATACACACAGTGGCTCGCAATGCTGAAAACTCTTTCTTTAACTGTTCCCATAGTAACCAAAGCCATTCTTTGTATTTAATTGGTGCCTTTTCAAATATAATCTGTTATTGTAGCTGGAATCAGTGTGTTCTGTTGCCATCTGAATTATGGATTCCCTGAAGTCTATCAGGCATTTATTATAAATTCAGGTTTGCTTTCAATAATTTGAAATGTAAAGCCTTTTACTGCATTTCAGTATGTAGTAACACAGTAATAACATAATTCAGGAAGAAGAACATAGATACCACAATGCTGGAAGCATTAAATATTATTTTGAACAGATGAATTTTAGTAACTTCAATTTTAAATATGAGGATAAACAATCCTTGCTAGAGCTCATACCTGAACGAGGATATGACTCCTTTCTCAACTTCTCAGCTTTACGATTCATTCCTGTAAGAGATCTGGACTAAATTCCAAGCTCTCTGAATTTATTCCTGGTTTTAGGGAACATCTTCAAAAAAAAATGAACTCCTGGGACAATAAATGAAGAATGACGATTTCCTTTCTTAAATTTTCTTAAATAATCTGGTTCGTAGCAGCATAGTATTTACTCTCTCATTTTAATGGCACAGTGTAATTTTAATCTGCAGAACAGTTGAAGATTAGAGAACTTGAAAACAATTGCAAATAGTATTTATTATTACACACCTTACTTGCATTATTCCATTTCAAGTCCATCTGCTATCAAAGTAAAATGTATTCTGTACGCTATTTCTATGTATATTTCTTCCCACATCACCAGCACAAGACTTAGAAAGTAATAGGTAAACCTACTTCTGAATCCTTGTGCTTTCTCATTGACCCAGAAATGTTATTTTCTAGCTCCTCCATGAGTTATCCCAAGCTTTCTTGTTCCTTGGACAAGAAAATAAGGAGGGTTTTATTCATCTGTTTTGGACTATTGTAACACACTTTGTCAGAATTGACAATAAGGAATCAAGTTTAGCAATGGTTATCTGGACCATATATCTGAAAACGTTTATGTAGAACATTTACATTTTTCCAGTCAAAAATATCAGTAATTTCTATTTACACAGGTCCAGATAAGGAATAGAAAAATAAGAATGCAACATTAGATTACGATTTAAAAGGGATTACAAAAATACAGCCCCATTAATTGGGGGTTGTTGTAGGACAAAATAATTTGTCATCACCTTACCATTTTGTTAATCTATCGAAAAGGACTTCTGTTTTTCCTGTCCTGTCTTTAAATTGTTTGCAAGAGACCTTTCAGATCGATGCAATCAAAATTAAAAGAAGTATATTTTAAAGCAAAAGAAGCTTTTTCATTCTGAGTCTTCATAATGATAATTCCAGGTTGGTTTGTGGCTCTTATCTGAGGTTTCTGTCCCTTCTGCACCTACCGCTGCCAGGAGAGATGAGTCCGTTTCAGTTCAGTATCTTCTAAAGTAGCAATCTGGGTACATACTAAAATTGTATATGAAGATGTTGATTATACAAAAGGACATCATAAAAAGGTAATTGACTCCTGAAAAAATCAATATTTAAAAATTTGAATAAAAGGCTGGGGATGGAGCAGTAGGTAAGTACAACAATTAGAAAAACATCACCATACTTTTGGATGAATACCCTACAGGCTTTTTATATAAACAAACAAAAAACCAGATAGATAAAGAGTTTTACCAAGAGTATAGTTTGGAGTATAGTTTTATGATTAAAACATGGAAAAGCTTACCTCAAAGCTACCCCTGTTTTTCCCCTGCCTGTGCTTCCCTTGATTTTTCCCAATAGCTCACTCCTAATAATCTCCAATCTGTATTTCCCTCTTCCTACTTGTCTTGCTTATCATAGGAATCCTTTGGGAGATTCACTGAACATATAAAACAGTTGATCTGGGAGGAAAAAGGGGTTGTAGCCTATGTCATATTTTGATGTATAAGTCCTTGCACCTGCAAAAGCCAACTCACACTTACAATGCAAGTACTGGTGTCTTTTTTCCTTTCCCTGTTTCTATTTTTTGGAGATATTTATTAGAGCTGTATGCAAGCTGATCTTGTGGGCTGCTGCGATGGAAGCTCTAAATCTGGATTATTATTATTAGGTGGAAACATTTGCAATACATGCTATTGTGCATTTAATCAATGTAGATGTAGCAAATATCTTTTATGTGCAACAAAAGCTACATACTACTCCATTATATAATGATAAAGAGAGGATTAAAATAACCAAAACAACTTGTAATCAAAACAATTGGAATGAAATCCTACTGTATCCACAAAGACCTAGTAAATGAATTTGAAAGCACGTGAAATACTTAGAGAGATTCAGGACATGAAAAAGAAAACCAAAAAATATTCTCCCCTCACAAACATTCAGTGAATTTTTTACATGGTGGTTACTGCACCTACCACTGAAAAAAGCAGCTGGGCCAGCTGATATTAGTATATCAGAGATTAATCCTGCTCCTGGAGCACTGGAGGAAGAACTTCATTTCTACTCACTTCATAACTGTAGGGATAGGTTTTGCAGCATTCAGCTCTTCTAAATTCACTGCTACTTGGTACAATATTTTGTCTTTACAGCTTAACTTTACTGCAATATAATTGCAAATTTATGCCTTGATCCAACCGCACCGATGCTGCATGTGTCCCAGTAAGATGATGCATAGTCCTTTCACTTTCAACTCCTCTGCTTCCTACATCCCCATTTCCCATTTTGCTTTTCAGGGTTGTCTTTTTTTAAGCTGCAGGTGTTTTATATATCCCATATGGTGGCTACCATAGCAAGTGTATTGACTGGAAAAAGCCACAAGAGTGAAGAGAAAAAAAAAAAAGAGCAATAGGATCATTTCACCTTTTTAGCTATAGCCTTGCACCTCTGCTGCCACCAAATCCATCTAAGTAAAAATAATGTATTCAATACTCATTTTGATAGGTTACTAAAATCCCTGCTCCCAGGGCTATTCACAGATACACTGGAAATGCACATAGGAGAGAACAAGGGATATTGCCTTTATTTCTTTGTTACCTCCAGGAAAAAATAAGAACAAAACAAACTGTACCTAGAGGTGGGGATAAGGAGCTTCTTCTTGAAATTATTTCTGTTCTTATCTAATATTTCTTTTTTATTCTGCAAAACAGATCAAATCTTCCTCTTAGAAATACTAATATTTAGATTATGAATACTTCTGGAGCATCTCTCCACATTTAGTCTGGCAAAATAAAAACTGAAGTCCCCCTGATGGTATGTGAAACATAGCATGCAAGTATATATATACTTTCACATAATTCATTCCCTCTAAGATGCAGGTAATATCTCATGTTGAAGCACTATGAAGCACTTTAGATATTTTTAAGCAGCATGTTGATCAAACTTATGTTTGCTCCAATGATATTCCTATTTAGATCATGATAATACAACTCAAGATTAGGATATTTTCTAACAAAGTTAACTCTAATACAGCCACTGCACAAGATGATGGTTTTTAGGAATGTTCTGCAGAATCCATGGTCTAGAAAACTCCTCAATAAAACCTGTAACATCACCAAAAAAACACTATTATTTTTCACCAATCTTATTCAAGAGAACACCTGATAAATGTTTTCACTGGAAGTGTACAAAGACCTATAAAACAGCACAGCATAGTCCAATAGCTTTACCATGCAGTCATAACTACAAATCTACCTATTTATTCCCTCACATCCCTCTTTTCCCCCCACTTCCAATGACAGAAAGAAGTCACTAATAAATGCTTCAGAATGTTATGCTTCAGAGATATTAAATTACTGTGAAAGTGAAACAAATACATATCTGCTATGTACTTGATCTGTTTTTCTAGTTTTAATCTACAATACATTTTTCTAACCAAATTAAGCACTTTACAATCCTGGCATTACATGTACAAGCATATTTCCTTCATATTTTTTCATTTTATGATGCTTTAATTGTTCACAAGTAATAACACAGTTGATTAATTTTTATATTTGATGCTGCAATTATGCTTTGAAATCAAATTTGTAAGAATTGAGGTTGTACTTTAATACACATGCCACAGACTTCTAAATTAAAAAACAAATGATCCGCTGGTCCCTTTCTCCCCCACCACCCCACCCCTGTCTCTTCAACATTTAGACAATACTACCTCAGACTGATGTTTCTGCTGCACAAAGGTAGCAGAGAGCCCCAAACCTGCCTTAATTTCCTTGTGAGATGATAAAATACAACCACTGGCTGTCTATCAAATAGAACTTCAATTGCAGTATAGCAACAGCATACACTTTTACACACCAGAAAGTGTAATTCTGTTTCTGCAGTGGTCCCTAAGACTAAGCACTTCCACTTAATTTTGTGAAAGCTTGAGTTAACAGGGTTTAACAAATATATTTTGCCCCAATTTTACAGCAAAATAACTTCTGTGTACTTTCAAGATTTTGGACATGCAAGAAGAAAAGGATAAATGGGCATGGCTGACACTTCTCTCGGTCTCCTCATTTGAGTTAAAAGGGCTTTATCCCAAATATCTTGAGGACTCTTTGTGCTGCCCTGAAATCAAGTTCTTTCAACCCCTTGAATAAGTACTTGCTAAATAAGAGCTCCAGATCTCCTTTAAAACATGAAACTAAGGGAGTAACAATGCCTGTTCTGAGTGTCTAAGTTGGACATGAATTTAGATTGGATGAAAATGAGGTTGGTTTTCCACAGGGAACTTTTAAATATGAAGTAAATGAGTGAGTCATTTTCCACGGGCCCAATGCAACCCTGCCTCAGAAAGACATTATGCCTGAGTGGCTCTGTACAGTCATCCCAGCAGACAGTGGGTGTGCTCTTCAGGGATTAGGCAGCTGCCGTATAGGATAATGGAAAATACTGTAATTTTATTAGAATAACAAACACCGTAAGTGACTAACGCTTCAATTTAGAATAGCAGCTCTTCAGATGTAGATTTCCAGATAAAATATTTGATGTTCCATTGCCTAAGCCTATCTCAACCATCCCTGCCTACACTGCCTACAGTAACCATCCCTTTCAAGGAATCAGGTAAGATTTTATTTACTTTAACTACATCATCTTTTAAAATTGCTCCAGACATTAAGGATTCTTGTTACATACGTAATAATTTCTATTTCATCACACACAAAAAATCCCAGCACAAATTTAAATTCGAAATTGTCTTATGGTTCCTTGTTCTAATTACAATGTATATGCCAAGAATATTTTGCAATGATTACTCAAGGCCATCAGTTTAGAGGAGTTCTTGCTTGCCAAGTATTAGGCTGTCACACTTTGAGATTAAGTTGATACTGGTGACCTGATTCATACTTCTCAGTAATATAAATAAAGCAGACACTCCAGTACACACGGGATAAAATTTCCACTCTTGAATGAAGTGCATCTTAAGCTTTTTTTATAGATATAGCTATATAAATATATCTATATATACATATATAGATATATATGGGTGACAACTGGCATGTTTTTAAATAAGATCTCTAACTACATAGTGCAAAATTACTGATCTTGACTTATTTCTTTTGGGGAAATGTGTGGGCTTGAAGGACAAGCAAATCAGATGACTGAAGCTTCCTCTACTGCAGAAGTGTCCAGTGGAGACCATGATGGTTCACAGAGAATAAAGAAAAGATGGTTGCATGAGAATGCACGATTTAAAATTAATATAAGAATTTAAAATGTTTTCTCAGGTCCGATAAATAAATGGATAATCTTACTCTAAAGGACATTCTTCTTAGGGTGATGTCCAAAACCAGAACGACATTATGGTACAAAGGTATCTAATTTTACAGATGTGAATGGAACAAAGTGATATTTTATTCTTGCTTCAGGTTAAATCAAAGCCATTTTCTAAATGTCACTGTGATTTGGTGAGAATGTTTTCCTTATAATGACTTCAGATCTAGTTAAGAAACTATAGTTGTTGATGCAGTTATGTTATGGGTTGCTTGCTGATGAAGCAGGGGAAATTTGTATTCCAGATTACTATAACTGGATTGTCCTTTGTCTGTGCAGTCCAATGCTTTAAGTCAGGTTTGGTCATACTCTCTGCCAATGTAAATTACAGTAATTATTTTGACTCCAGAAGTTCTATACAAATTTTCACCATTTGGTGCTCAGAAACATCACTTTTCACACAAGTTGTATTACCTTTATACATTTTTATTTCCTGAATTTTCTTTAATTAATAAAGACTAGCTTCACAATGATACAATGGACTCATCTTATTTTAAAGTTCCAGTTATCTCAACTAGAAAATTCCTTAGTGTTCTTGATCCTCCACACTTTGATCAAAGTAATCCCCTCAAACACTTTGCTCAAAATTCTACCCCTACATCTTTTCATCAAGTAGAGTTCAGTCACACCAGTTATACTTTAAACAACATAATTGAAACACTCATGGTCAATTATCCATTAGAAACCAAGTCTCTTCTCAGAGGAAAGAGGAATCTTTCCAAACACTGACTACATTTGCAAAGGATCAGAGTTTTCTTGGCAGGGCTATAGAATAAGTCTATGTAAACTCTTCCCTCCACAGGATAATTGCCCTCGTTCCCCTGCCTCCTGCATTATTCACCACCACACAGAAAAAGACAGGAGTTGAACTACAAAATATTGAAAATATTGAGTGCTGTAATTACAATTAGTTAGTGGCTCTCAAAAAACAGCTTATTCAATATTTGCAACTAAAGATCAAATTAAGCTGCACAGAACTGCTTAATCCTTTGGTTGCAAACAACTAAGATATTTAAATTACCTATGTAGATTGTTTTGCTGTCAATCTCTCGCATAAACTGATGGTTGCAGTGACTGAGAAGAAACACAAGAACTGATGATGCTCCTATTCTATAACCAGACACAAAGTTTCTTCCATATTCACTTTGCACTGCAATTGTAATTCCTTTGCACAACTTTTATTTATGTTATAATTGTTTTTACAAAATTATTTTCACTTTTGCAGTGACCAGACACAGAGATAAAAAAAAAGTAGAAACAACAGTCTGGTTTACTGTTTTGTTTTTCCTCAAAGCAAGTAGAAAGAGATTACCAATTTGAGCAGCCTAGAGAAGAGGTAATGTCAGATAGGAGTTTCAACAAGTTAGGTTTAGGGACCAGTAGACAGTAAATGAAGTGTAAGTACTATATTTTTAGTGTTTTCTGAAAAGTTTCCCATTTCAAAGATGACATGAATACAACAAAATAACTTATTTTCCCATTATGTGCACAAAGCAATACAGGATGTACAGGGAGACGATTGAATTGTTATAGCCATGGGTTATGATTTGTTCTTTCTCTGTTTTATTACAGATGGACAGGAAACTGGAATAATCAAAAATGAGTTTTTAATCAAATGTAACATCTTTTAAGCAAAGAGTTAATTTGTCACTTGTTACCTTTGTTATGTTTGGGTATTTATTAATTCTTTAAATAGTGATACCAGTCACATACTTTTAATATTATTTCTATTATGTTTTTTCTTGCTGGTACAAAAATAAACCACCTTTGTTTCATTAAGCCTAAATTTATCAGAGGAAACTGACATCTGTTACTCAGATCTATTCTGCTCATCCTATGTTTCTTCAGAAGACTTTTATGTATCCTATGCAAAGTCCACCTTTTCTCTAGGCTCTAAAGCAAATCAAACATCTTATTCTACAGTGGAAATTACCTTCCCAAACTCATCTGCTGTGATTGCCACCTTTTGCAGGTGGCCTGTCACATGAAAGGTAGATGATGCTCCTCACCAGTAATACCTGCATCTGTCCTGTCCCTTGAGACCAGTTTCCACAGGTGTGAGGAGCAAACAGTGCACCAGCGTTTCCTATCATGTGAGTCACATTAATGTGTTACAGCCACCCTTAAATCTACACAGAGAAAAAGCCACACACTCACCTGCAAAGGACCACAAAGCAAGGAGGCTGCAAGGTCACATGTGGAGCGTGGCCCACTGTTCTGGCCTGCACCCTTGGAAGACTCAGACCTGGCTGGTCCCCTGAGGAGGACCTCCAGTACCCAAGCCTGTTGATCAATTCTGAGAATGTATTTGGCCCCTGTGGATACATATTTGATTCCTACTAGCCCAGGAAGATATTTTAATGATTTGAAATCATTGAATGATTTAAGGATTTGACCACAGACAGCATAAGCACATTGCTAATGTTTACTCAAACTATCTGCTTTAAAGAAATGGATATAAATTCCACCTCCTTTACCTGTTACCTATCAGTAAAACGTAATGGTGGAAAGTAAACTACAATTCAGCTGAAACCACAGTTTTCAAAGTACCGCCATTCCAGGGCAACACTGGGCATCCCTATTCTCTCTCTCTACTACCCTAAGAATGAAATACAGTGCATCTTCTTAATTATCCAGAAAATTGAAACAGTACAATCATCTTTTACCAGGTTTTCCAAACAAGTCTGAAAAGCATTAATTTTTCACATAACTAAAACATGCCTTTTTGAATGGACTGTCAAAGCATACACAAATCATGTACAGGGTACCACTGCCTGACAATCTGGCTGCATTAGAGACCATGTTTCATGTTACCACTAAGGAGCACAAAAAGTTCAAGAGATAAAATAACAACATTGCTGCTTTGAGTGGGAAAAAAATCTTCCCTGGAATTTAACAAAATACAAAATTAGAGGGAAGGATAAAAAAAGGAAAAGAAAATCTGCAACTGAATAAGTGAAGAACAATATATAATCAGCTTGGTTTGAACTTCTTTTGAAAGGAATTAGACAAGGCTGCTAGAGTCAAAAAAAGGATTACTAGTCTTCTGATGTAACAACTACATTTTTACAATTTGAGACTCTCAGAGAGATAAAAGCTCCTAAAATTTGGAATATGCTTACTGCAGCTGACGAATATAGACTATGTACACACCAAAATATTTCCAGACACCAGTGTGTATCTGTACTAAAGCCCCAGGTTAGTTATCTGTACTAAACAGTGATGTACAGAAGGGCATTAAAGCCATAACTCTCCCCCTTACTCCCATTTCACACCAGTAAGCATCCAGCTAGTCACTGTGGCTCCAAGAAGTCTTCTCATGTATTTGAACTCGTGTAAGAATCTTGCTCAGGTTAAGTACAATTGCACGGTACAAGTTAAACAGCTTTGGAACAGATAGAATATGGAAAAGACTCACTGCATAGCCTCGTTCATGTGTTTACCACAAAAAATCTGACTTGATCTTAAGAATTTAAAGAATTGCCAAAGGATCTTTAGCATTTAGAATCATAGAAAAAAGTCCTAGAATAATTTTGAGTTGGAAGGGACCTTTAAAGGCCATCTAGTCCAACTCCCCTGCAATGAGCATGGACACCTTCAGCTAGATCAGCTCGCTCGGAGCTCCATCCAACATCCTTTGAATGTTCCCAGGGATGGGGTCTGTTTTCTCTGGGCAGCCTGTTCCAGTGTTTCACCACCCTCATTGTAAAAGCTTTCTTCCTTAGACGTAGTCTGAATCTACCCTCTTTTAGTTAAAAATCATTACCTCCTGTCATATCATTTTTCTAATATCTTGATCTGGAAATATGCCCTAAATTTCAGGAAAATATTTCTGACATGAAAAACAGTTGTCAAATTACTGTGTCTGCCTTATGACATAAGACCTGTAGCTCTAAAAACAATTTAACAGCAAATAATAGCTTTAAATAAAAATCAAAATCAGAATTGTGACAGCAGATAAAATACTAATGCACAAACCACTTTTAAATTGGCCGGCTCAGAGAGCTACATGTTGCCATCACTGTTCTGAACTGCAGGGCAGTCATATCCAAAGAAACTAATCAAATGAAGTATATAAGTACCAGCTCAACTTGAAATCTGATAAATTAAAAATGATGCACCTGAATTTCACTAATACTTTTTTCAAACACTGGAAGCACATGAGAGGTTTTCTGGGTTTACATAGTAACATCATACAGCAGCAGAACTTTGTCTGCCCAGGAACACATGTCTGAGAGACATCTTTTTCCACACTGCCCCTTGAAGGCTGACCTTTCAGCCCAGCAAAGCTGAAGCTAAGTTGCTTTATGGCATAACACACAGTTGCCTGGGCCATACTTCCTTTTCCATGTTTCTTCATTAAAAACTTGAAATGGAAGTGAGGATTCCTCATGGCATTGCTCTGTGCCATCAGCTGATTTATTTATAGTAGAATTCAGCTAGGAAGGACTAAAATTAGGACTATGCAAACTGAATACACTGTTCAAAATGTTCAAATTGTTTTAGCACCTGAGCACTTCAGAGAACAACTCACTGATCTATCGCTATGGCAACACAAAGAGTCCTCAATAACTTCGAACTGTTAAGACAGCGTGAGGTTTTTAAATTTTGTATTTCTACAAAATATAACAAAGTTAATGCAACATCCTAGACAAAGCTGAGAGCCCAGAAGGTAAAGTAAGGTAGAACTCACATCTCTTACTTTTCGCCGTGACCTCACACTGACCATGTATTTCTCTGCCTCAGAGTCTGTTGTGGAGTGGAAGGACAAAAGCTATCAAGGGTGCTTTTCCTCTTGCCAAGTGCATTCCTGCTGAATAACTGAGGTATGGATTTTGCCCAGTGCACAAGCACGCAAGAGTTAGCAATTACCTGCATATCACTAAGAAATTGCTCCCTGATGAAATGGTTTGAGTTTCCAAGAAAAAATACAGGGGGAGAAAAAATTAGCCTTTTATTCCTGCAATGCTGTAACATCTAATCATTGACACTTCAAAGAATCGTTAAGCTTTGCTGCTACCACTTCTGGCACCATTTACTGCTTACAAAAAAAATACATTAAGCAAATACAGTACATTATTTAAAACCACTAAACAGTTTCTTTCTAAAACAAAATAACACCATTAATCAAATATTACACAAGTCTCATTAAAGGTTTTTTTTTCTTTCTCTTCCCAGGCTTTACAGCTTCCTGTGTCCTGAAGGTCTTGGATATAATTTTACTGTAGCTTACAGTAAAATAATTTTTAGTTATTAGTAACTGTTTAACATTTTATTATCACTAACATGCATTTTATCTAGCTTGGATTACACACTTTCTTATGGAGTTTCAGAAAGCGTTAGTTATTCTAAAGATACTCTGTCCCTGCAGGGCCTGAAGGCAATAACTTCAAGACCTCAGTGGTGGTCACTGCTCAGCCCTCTGTTACGTGTACAATTTTTGGATGTGCAAGTCAAAACCATACATGTGCACAAAGACAAGCATAAAAAATCAAAGCACTGGTGTTGTTTCCAACTATGACTATCAAAAACTATAATCCACACAAGCAGATCAGGTCATACATGGACTTTGCATTCAAGTCAATGGAATTCATCATGTGCCAAGGGCATGTTTGCATTGGGGACAGATGACATTGGGTTATTTAGACACAGGAACTGGGACTCATGAAACGAGAGATGTGAACAGTATGCTGATATTTCACAGTGCTTGAGATTTTCTTGTTCACCTCCCTACAATTACGTTGAAAGTTTCTACAATGTTTACCGAATGCCAGTTGCAAATTTTTTCCAGCGAGATAGTTCTGTTTACTTTCCAATATACTTGTCAGAAACATTAATTTAAAGATACTAATACACTGATGCAGTTTCATATGGAAAAGTTCAAATACATTTAATATGTTTAAGCACAAGCTTGCTTCTGATTAAGCAGATTAATGTACTTGCTACTACCAATAAGGAGAAACAAAAAAAAAGTCTAGGAGGTGGCATCATGCTAAACAAGTACCGGTGTCTACTACTTTGAATTCATAAGGGATTATGAAGCACTGAACCTTACAATAGTAGATAAAAACCCAGTCAAACAACACTGCAGGTTTGCCTTAAGTGAAGAGAGGGCAAAAATGTTCTATGCTGCTTGAACTAACCACAAAAATTACTCTGGTTTTCAGCACTGTATTTCACAGATCATTGACTTTCCAATTCCTTGGTATTCAGAGAGCCACATGACTGAAACACTAAAACAATTAGATGCTAACACTATTTCAAACATTAAGTCATTGCAATAATACCTAGATGATAAGTAACATACTGTGTTAAACTTTAAGTACAAGTAAAGTAGATGAAATGGGTTTATCACCAGATTGAAAAAGATGCCACAGTCAAATATAGACTTAAGTCACAGATCTGTAGCAAGATCACATCCCAACTTATCTAATCCTCCAGTGCTGTTTTAGGGGGCGGGGGGGAGGGAGGGGGGCAGAGCATGAGAGGATAGTTTTATTTTCATACAGTAATAGGTATGCAAGCCAGGACTTCACAGACAAGTTCAAAGCTAAATTTGTATATACCAAGATAAGTAGAAAACTAAACATAAATGTCATACTATCCATTGTCACGTTTTTAATTACCTTTCACACTTTAAAATGCACAGACCCCAAGTTCATGTTGTCATAAGGCCTTACCATTGTGTTTGCTTTCTTTTCATGAGAAGAAAAATATTTTTATTCTCCAAGGACTCCATCATTAAGAAACAACGATCCTGCCTAGTACTGCAAGGCAAATGTTACTGTACACACTGTGGTTATAATTCTCATCTAATGCAAGATATCAAAATACAGTCTAATTAATTAAATAGATTTTCTTTGGAAGCCCATTACCACTTTTTTGAAGATGCAATCATATATCACAGAGGTAGTCACTTAAAAATACTGAAATGTCTCAGATGAGCTTAGCATCTAAGAATTATGTTCTTTATAAAAATCTGCAAGAATGAAAGGACTATTTAAACAAAAAGAATCATCTTATTAAGCCTCTTAAAAAGCCAGTTTCTCGGAGTATAAATGCCCATTCCCTCTATATGTGTCATTACCAAAAGCCTTGGGAAAAAATATAGGTTAATGAACAAAAGTAGCAGACTAGCCTCAGGCCAGTTTCTACTTTTGGAAACACCTATGTAACTCCTGATGAAAGAGAAGGGAGGTGCATACGCACATATATGAGAAGGAATCTGGCCTGGTATTTTAACTGCACTTGTAAAAGATCACGTTATTTGAATAACTCACTGTTTGGACACATCTGGCATTATCATCTGTTCTTTTTTCCTTGTATCCACCGTAGGCTCTACAGGCGTAAGTACTACAGCAGCACATGAGACTATTGACTGGTACGAGTCTTCCCGGCAAACTGCAAAGTTAAAAAAAATATCAGCGTTAAAGAGTGAACTCAGTTTGCACTTTAAAGGGGAAAAAAAAATAAATCAATTCATACTGTGATAAATACAAATGCAAATGATTAATCAGACTTCACCGTGGTCACCTGCAATGAAAACACCATTGTTTTCCACATTCCCTGAATGTGTTTGCTTGATAATTTTTTTTTTGACATTGACTGATCATGCACTAAGTTTTATCTAGCACAAGACCTGATGTCACTCTACTCCTTGGTGTGTCTGAGTCCTAAAAAGACTTATATTTCATAAATGACATCAGAATGTGATGCACTTCTTTGTCCATTTTCATCACAGCCTGAAAAAGAGTGGAAATAATGGCTGGTTTCCAGACAAACCTCCTACATTCAAAAATTTCAGACTTTGTAAGAAAATAGATTTGAGAAAATCTGGTTAGTGATTTATTTTTTGTCTCTGTTATGACTCACTTTACCCCAAAAAGGCCAAATCCAAGTGGTCTAGAAGTGCTATCTGATGCTTTCTTTTAATAAAAATAATCTCCATGTTGCTGTGCTGATGCTATGACTTAGATGATATTTAGAGCTTGAAGAATGACAATGTATTTCAGCTGAGCACCTGGCTCAATTAAGACTAATAAATGAATAACCAAAAGTTTATGACCTCCGAACAGACAATTATATTTGTCACAGGTTATACATGTTCCAAACAGTAAACTGCAGGTGTCATTATAATTTAGCTTTTAGCAGTTACCACTCCTACTGATTTTGAAGCTATAGGTTTCCTTTACAGCCAAGGTAAACCTTTCTGAGATGAATAAAGGCTCCACTTAAAAGCTGGTTATATTTAACAAAGCACAGCAGCTTCTTATATTAAATCTGGTACTACAAGGTATCATATACAAACGAGAAGAAATGTGGTGACCTATCTTTAAACAGAAAGTCACCCGGTATTTTATAACATAGAGAACTATTTTACCGAGGGCACACATGCACATACACATCCAACAGCACAGCCTGTAAAACAAGAATGACGGCGACAAATTCTTAGCAATTCACCAGAAAGAACGTATTTTAAAACTATATACATTTTATGCAAGATTGGTAGAGTTGGGAACATTGAGCTATGGCATTTATTTACCAGTGGAAAACTTAGTTCTTAAGTGTCTCCTACCTTTCATTCACCACAATTATGTGCCTCCTTACTGCCCACAGACAGCATACCGTTTGCACAGCCTATGCTCCCCTTACAAACGAAGAAAAACTGGAGTAAAACTTCATCCATATTGCCCTGACTGGGTCAAGCTCAATTACCTTCACCATGAACTCAGCACACATCAACAAGACACGCTCTGTGCCCAACAAACACCCTGGAATAGTAAATGGTGCTTCAAGGCAGATACAGAGTAGATTTTAAGGAACAGGTCAGACTGGGGCTGGATATTTCTACAAAGGTCAAAAAAGCGCAAAGATCTTTTTTTCTTCCTGAGCAATTCTGAGCCATTCAGCAAGCAGCACAAGGTCAGCAGGAATACAGGCAGCTTCTGTCAGGAAGAAAACTTTCCTGGGATTGCATGTAATTACATTTAATTCATCTGATGTTCTCTAGGTTTTGTTTATGCTTGTATTTTTAAATATTAATGTGCACACTGTGCTAAATGACTAAGACACATAAGATGACCGGTACTGAAACCTCAACTCCATTTTTTCTTTGGAACCAGCACAAATTAAAACTTTGACACTATCATAGACACACGTCTCCAAAACATGGTCATACACAAGGAGAACTTGCTACATCACCTACAGGTATGCAATTAGGATATACACTATACACTTCAGGCATAACAAATTAAGATAGAACTAATGCAAAATACGATGAACTTGAGAAACATCGTAAGAAAAAAAATGGAATTTTAGGTGATTTTCATCCTACTATGTTATGTGCAACCAGCAGACCATCTATTAGCAAGGCGCTATTTGGTAGGCACCAAGCAATGTACAAAACACTATATTCTCATTACAACCAGGGACTGAATATGTGCAAATAAGAACACTTATGTCTATTTGTCTCTTTTATTTACAAAGAATTGCAAAAAGATAGGTTTGTCAGAGGGTGATACTGACATTCAGTACCTGAATTTTAACCAGAAACACTGATAAAAAAGGGAGCATAAAGGATGAAGCAAATACATATTTTTCTTTAGAAGACCTGTGATACTGCTTGAATATCAAATTATTACTTAGAGCTTGTAAAAGGTTTCATGACAAGCATCTAAGTGTAGGGTTTGCCCTAGATCAGCCACTGTCCATCAGAGCAGTTACAAAGACAGACAAGATAGGGAATTACAAGTAACAAAGATGACACAGCTAGTCTTTACAGACATTTCACAAATGAATAAAACTGAAATTGCTTTTGTTTAATAATTAATGCTATACAGCAGTTGTATAATCCCCTAATTTGCAGCTGAAGACAAACCCAGTGGTCATCCAGTGACTGAAGCTAATGGAATTTATTATCTTCCCATCTAGGCAGCACTCTTTGGTCTCTCTTTTGAAAACCACTACAATTCTTCCTTTTTATCTCAAGTCTCTGTGCACACAGTCTCAAGTCATTATGGGACAGTATAATTAACAAAAATGTCATAAAATAGCGATGGCACAGCAGCAAGTAATTTTCACCTAGCAGAGTGGTGCTCTTATTATCTGTTCATAACTTGCATTAAAATTATGATGATGTGTTTGAATGTGGACTCTCAACTTTAATATTGACAGAGATGAGTATTGTTCTACTTAAGATTGTCTGCATTTTATACTTCAAACTCAACTCTTAAACGTAGCTTTCATTTTTACATCTTGATTTTTTATCTACAAGTGCTTATATTACACCAGAAAAGATAATTTGTGATGTCTACATATTACACTCTTCATGAATCAAAATCTCTTTGATCCTCAAAATATCACAAACCTCAGAAAAGCAATTACACTAAGGCATTACCTCTTTTAACCATAAATCCTCTCACGTGTACAACTGGCTTTTTAACATCCACCAAGAACTTGAAAAATTTATCCTTCCCACATGAATTGGTAAGAAAAATAAAGAAAAGCAGAATTTCCAATCATCTGAGTTGGTGTCTGGCAAAGCCACCAATTTAATCAGCTGGCCCAGCCTGTGTCATTCCTCCTGATGTTAGCGTGCAAGCTAACTCTGTGCTCTCTACCCTCTGGGCCCAGCCATTCAGTTTTCAATCCACCTCAGTTCTCTGCTCACCCAGCTCAACCACCAGTGGCTTGTCTATGAGGATCTTATGAGAGACAGTGTTGAAAACCTTACTAAAGCCATGGCACACAACAAAGAAACCAATAAAGAAAATTTGCTCATATATATATATATATTTGCTCATGTATATATCTGCTACATTTTTACAATGGCACACAAACATGAAGTACATGTTGTAGGTAGAGGTTCATTATCACACGTAGCATTGCATACCTCCAGAATGTTGGAAAAAAACTGTACAAGGTATCAACAACAAGGGAAACAATCAGCTGATTTTACACCACCTGCAGCAGTTTCTTTAAGAAACTAACGTTTACTATCTGAGGTGTTACACACCAAATAACTTTTGAAAAAAAAAAAAGTAATTTGAATGCAGGTAAGATTGTATTTTTCAGTCCTTTATTCACAATTCAACCATTACATGAACAAGCTAATAATTGTAGTGAAATAACACAACTGGAGGAACATCTTTAGGTATGTTATCATTAAAGAAACATTTTTCTTAGTGAAATAAAAGACACTACCTACCAATTACAAGTCATGTAAAGGACAACTCTACAGAAACGGAAAACAAACAGTCTAACTTCATAGAATGCTATTATAAAAGATCCATACCACTTTTGAAGTTGCACAGTTTCTCCCCAGATTCTTCAATTTAATGAAGCATACAGCTTGTTTTCTTCCATTGCCAAGTGTTTTAAAAGTACCCCATATATTTATCACTAGGAGTGCTGGCTTGGATTTACCCTAGCTGGTTTAAGCAGTCCCAGAACATCATTCACTATCAAAACAGATCTCTACATCTGGAAAAGAGAAACATTAGCCGCCTTTTTTTTCCCTCTGCTGTTTCTCTCAAGAACAATGAGAATGACTAATTAGACAGTTTTCTTCTACTTTGAACCAGCCAGAGAAAAAATTTTAATTCCCTAAATAGTAGGACAGTATGAAGCCTTCAACAGCAACTGAATAGAATGTATCTCTCCAGAGAATAAAAAGACTTTCAAGTTCTAGGGGTGTCATTTACATCGTGTATTTCAAACAGTTAATTGTATGCACTTTCCCCCCCCCCTTTTTTTTTTTCTGTAATTGGGGAGAAAGAAAATCTGGTTATCACTGTTTGCTATCAAAGAAAAAAAGTCTCCATTGACACAAGATGCAAGTGATGGTTAGAAGAAATTAGCAGCAAGTACTACCTGCTTAGAGAAAACAGAAGGGAAATGTTCATTTGCAGTGTGCAATGAAGCATAAGGGAATTATGACACAGGGAGACAAAACCACTTAGGTATTTCTGGATTTTAAAAAACCTCAGCCCTTATCCTAGCAATTCAAACATTTACATTTATGACTATGAAGTTTAAAATAATCAGCTCTCATCATTCAAGACACAGATCAAGTCTGGAAACAGCCACTGTTTTTACCAAAAAATCTTCTGCTTTGGTAAAAACCTATGCAACCAGTCAGGAGCACAGAAGGTGCTAAATACTTTACTCTGAAATATCTGTCGGCTGCCACTGTAGGAGAGAGGGGACTGAAGTGTGGGGGAGCAATGTCTGGATCCCAATATCCAATCCCACATTCTTTTTACTACCAAAGGCCTGAAGGGATGTTTTGATAACCCTGGAACACCAATTCTCAGTGTGGGCATCTACATCTTAGCACATTTCACACGTGTGTCTCTCCCATGAAGAGGCTCAGGAAATGAGCTACACTGAGGTGGTCTGAG